ACTGAATCAAAGAAAGTTAAAGAGTCAAGAAGAATATTACAAGGAAGATATGAAAGCATCTAATTTTTAAGGGTATCAAAGATTCTTAGACAAGTTTGAACAACCTAAGCTCACCATGCGACATTTACATTTAATATCACCAAGCAAAAAGACCACGAAAACGTTGTAGAACCCGTAGTACATGACCAGATCTGGAAATGTCACCCTCCCTGTCCGGCACGTCTAGCGAAATCCGCTAAGGCATGAAGGGTACGAACGTTCGACGAAGGCCTGATCACCAGTAAAGCTTGATCGAAATCAGAACACTAAATGGAAATACTAAACAGCGCTCAAGAAATCAAGTATTTTAGAGCTCACCCTGAGATTTCTCAACTTCGTCTCATCACAGGTCACCAACTTTTTACGATCTATGCTCCTCACTGGAACCATGGCTGCTTCTTTACACAACGCAACGAGATCCGAATTGGAATAACCATGCGTTTGCGATGCGATCCATCTGAACACCTTGCATAATACTCATCGAAACCACCCATTTCATGCAAAAAAAATTCTGAGCAACGGTAATGACCGACCTTATATCGGAGTCACTAAGGCCTGCAGCCATATTGTGTTTATCCAGGGTCGCCTTCAGGAGATTACGGCGCGCCTTTTCATCCGGCAAATCCAGTAGCACTCGTTTTGGGAAACGCCTGGAAAACACCAGAGCCATCCTCAATAATTCGACCACATCGAAAACCTATTTTTCTCTCAAAGTGATACTCTTCGTCCCAATCGGATGCTATTTCACGAAGTCAGTTGCTTTGAGATGCCTAGACTTCCTTTGAATATGTTTACATAAAGCACCATAAAGCATCGAGATTTCACATGTTCATCATATTTCACTACATCATATCACTAGCTCAGCATACACTTTCACACAAATTCAGTAATAGGCGTGTTGCAAGGCTAGCTGAGGAATGAAATTTCTATCGCCGCTATATACACTGCGTCCCATAATTATAACTCCACCCAAGAATTTCCCAAAATCTCACAAATTTAGATGTTTTAGAAAAAGATCTCCAATGTGGCAGTGTGACAAATACAAGGTACGAAATTCCTTAAACATCAACTTCCAACTTGAGATCCCAGGAAATTTTTTCTAATAATTTTTGCTCATTGGCCACTAAGCCTGACTCCCAAATATAAACTCCATCTTGTTTGTCTATTATTTTTAAAGTGTTGACATCCTACTTCTCTAAGGGGACAGTATGATAGAAAATGCTGTCTGACTTTTTAAAAGGTCAGGTCGTCGCAAAAACTACTAATTAGGCAATCGCACAAGATTTTGACCAAATTCACGAGGAGCTCGAGAATTTCTTCAGGGATTTTACATGATATGGAGTTGAAAGAGCTCCAAAGGATCGAATTGTCTTTCTTCTTTCGGCATTTTCTTTCTCCTGGTAGTGCTTCGCGAAGAGAAAAGCTACTAAGGATGAGAAAAGCACGAAAAGAAAAACAAACAAATGCTAAAACATATCGAGCAAAAGCGAACCTTACTCCAGTCGGCTCCGTTGCATCTTTCTGTGAAAATGGGCTCAATTTTCGCCATGGTTTCTGCCACAGAGATGATGCCTTCCACGTTTTCCACTCGAGAATCAACTTGGGACTTATTCGCAAGCAAAAAACATTGTTCCGTTGAGCCATTAAGTTCCGAAGAAGATTTGATGGCAGAGCACGGCTTCATAAAAAAGGATGTTTCTTCTGTGACACGGCCTTTGTTTCTACCGAAAAGCAAGGGGAGATCCTTTGGAGCTCTTCTCAACTCCATATCATGTAAAATCCCTGAAAAAATTCTCGAGCTCCTCGTGAATTTGGTCAAAATCTTGTGCGATTGCCTAATTAGTAGTTTTTGCGACGACCTGACCTTTTAAAAAGTCAGACAGCATTTTCTATCATACTGTCCCCTTGAGAAGTAGGATGTTAGCACAATAAAAAAGTTTGGCGAAACGGAAGTGAAAAATAATAGAAAAACATGAGGTGGAGTTATAATTTTGGGACGTCGGCTAAGTGGCCTTTTGAACAAAAATTATTAGAAAAAATTCCTGGGATTTCAAGTTGGAAGTTGATGTTTACAGGCGATTTCGTACCTGTATTTACCACACTGCCACATTGGAGTCTTTTTCTAAAACATCTAAATTTGTGAGATTTTGGGAAATTCTTGGGTGGAGTTATAATTATGGGACGCAGTGTATATTGTTAGCTCTTTCACCTGGATCCTATAAAAGCAAAAATACTAGCGACTTGGATTTGAAATCGCTCACAAACATTAACACGACATAAAACATGTTTAGTCGGAAGAACTGCTTCTAACAATTGTCTAATTCTGTAAATTATGAGTAAATTGTTGAATATAGATAAAATGAATGCAAAGATGGCAGAGATTAAGGATCGATCATAGACATCGCATTCTTCCCAAAACAGCATTTAAGCAAATGTCAAATAACACAATAATAAGCACTACCGCGTGCACATACCCTTCAGTACGGCGTCGTCCAACCCTGCGGCGATTTTCGCAACTCAATGACAAGCAAATACTGTCATCTGGATATCTCGGTTGCACCATTCCGATCAATAATTGGAATTAAGAAACTCGTCTCAATTCTCCGACACCCTCGTATCCTCTCAGACTCGATCACATAGTATATACGAGTCATCTGCATTCGAAACGCTGCTGTACTTACTCTTTGGTTAAGATTGTGTAAAAAAAAAAAGGATAAAACAATCAACATCGTCTCAACAAATAATACTACAGTCAGACTGCGATTCGCGACTCCTACAAAAACGTGAAGATGTCCGAAAACTTGCTACTGAAATTCAGCAGCTTGAACTAGACTCATAGTCAACACTAACGACCATTCTGTTGCCTTCAGAAGAAAGTAAATTGCGAATTTTTCATCAATATGAGTTTCGTTTTGCTGCCAATTGAGTGCCTCATCGTAAAAGATCACCAAATTGAAGAGAACTAATATGTACTTTCCTAGGATAAATTCCACTGTTTTACACTCTTCCCTGTGTTTTCGATTTCTTGCTGTGAAACACAAAGCTCGTCTCAAATGCAGCTCATGCACTTTCAGCAATGAGAGAAATAGAAATGCTGAAGAGCGACAATGCTATACCATCAGTGCGAAAACCCTTATTTGCTTGCATCAAGCATCACTACCAACAACCAGGCTCAGTATGCTTGCTCACCCTGGTAAATGGACGACCCTTCAAAATCCTCTTCCTCTTCTATTCACTAGGCAAGCAATGAATTACTATGGCGTAAAGATTGAGAGCAATTCATTCGGGAATGTTCAACAGGGAGTTCAAACTTTTCAAGTTGCGATAGAGGAACGTCAACGATGATCACTATATATAAAAATGATAAAACGAGAACGAGCAACAATTCTGACCTATAAAAATAATGGCTGGTTGAGCATTCCTAGCAATTTGGAATAGACTGCGTATAGTTTTCTCCGCGTCTCCTACCCACTTTGAAGTCAAACTAGCTGCTGATATATTGAAGAAGACCTGTCGCGCTTCCGATGCGACAGCTTTCGCCTGAAATGGGTGAGAAAATATACGCATGATTTAAAAATCAATAGAATGAGAAAGAAGACTTACGAGCATTGTCTTTCCATTACCCGGAGGCCCAAACAACAGAATACCCTTTACGGGCTGACGAAGACCGCTAAACAGCCCTGGATTCAAGGCAGGTAAGATGACAGCCTAAAATCATGCTAGTCACGCTCTGAGCGCAAAATATGATTACGAGATACCTCTTCCAGTGCTTCTTTTGCCGATTCACATCCTATGACATCGGAGAATCGTACTTCTGTTCGATCAAGCATCTCATCAAGTAGACGTTCTCCGAACTTTGGATCAACTCCTCTGAGAAGCTGCTGACGAGTAGGAATTTGTGGACAAGCGTTTGTTTTTTGATTCTAGAATCATTTTTGCTCAGATGACAAAAGATAACCAAGTCCACGAGAATAGTTTACTAGAAGGTCCACCGAAGGATCAACGCTTAAGGAACCGTCACGGTTAGGTTATCAATATTGATGGATTCTCACAGAGTTCAAGTTCCTTGCGACATCGAGCTCCTTTATAATATGCCCAAACGCGTATAATGGCAACCTAAGGATCGAGCATGGCCAAAGCTTAGAGAGCAACCCATAATTCTAGTTCGAAAAAATCCTTGAGCTAACGAAAAACAGAAAAAGTCCTTCTTGCTGGGACCGCATTAGGAATCACAATATCAATCATCCCCGAAATTTAGCAGGCTGCAGCACGAAAAAAGCATTGGCAGATTTGTGGCGGTGAATAGTCGAAATTTGCAATTTTCGCGTACAGTGGTATATCGTCGTGTGGCAACTGAAATCAAGGTAGTAATGTGGAGCAGCGCTAAAAAAGAAAGAAAATCAGCTCGATCAAAACTAGGTTGAGAGTAATGTACTAACTAGTATTTACCGCTGGTGCGCTGAGTTAAGTCGAGCTCCTCTCCGTGCTGGCGAAGCGTTTCTTGCACTTGAAGGACCAGGGAGTGAAGTTGAATGTGTGGGTTTGTTTGTGCCTTTTATTTTATTCACTGGAAAACACAGAATTGAGCGAGTATTTTTGAAATTTCCCAGTACCGAACAACTAACTGAGAATAACAAATCGCTCCTGTGCACTGTGCGATGATAACCTTCATTTTTTCTTTGCACTCAGACACTTCTTTTCTCTTTTCGACCGGAACATCCATAACGTTTATGGCTTCAGCCTAAAGAAGAAGACTTTGAGGAGCATGGGATCCTCTTCAATGACTCCACCTTTTTGAACTCGTCCATGCCCTGTTTGTAAAGTTCGCAGACCAGAATTTTCTTGTCCTTGTACGAATCTGTTAAAAAGAAAACAGTGCGTTGGATGCCTCTGTGACCAGGAAAAGGTTTACTTACCGTCATATTTCTCGTCTATCTCGACGGCTTCCATTAACTTTGAACGCCCTAGGTTGAAGTGGGTCATGAACTGTTCGAGCTTCGCCTGCTGGGAAGTGTCCCGCCTATTGAGCACACTCATTCCTGAAGAAAATGTCACCTGATTTCGCACTAAACGAGTTACACGGCAATGCCAGAAAGACAGAAGATAAGCACGGCTGAGAGAACAACTAAAGTAGGATATATCTTAAGAACACATGTACTGCTGAATGTATTGATTTAAAAACAGTTTTGATACACGCAAAAAAGGCTATTCATTGTATTTAGCATTATAAGAGTAAACGATAGCTATGTAAGTAGTGAGAAAAATGCATGATCATTACCAAAATTTCTTTCTCACAATATTGGTCACATGGAAGCATTTTAAGTTTTCGCTGATATCGAGCTTGATCGCGACCCATTTTCTCACTACCTCATCGTTAGTAATTTTGAAAATAATGATTTCAATTTTAATATTCTTAAACGTTCTTCAGTACTCATAGTAATCATTCTTCAATCTTAAATACTACACCATTAAATGGGCGAAAAGATCCAGCTTTCAAAAGTTAGTCGTCCAGCCGAAATCATACGCGAATAAGCGCGAAACAACACACAACATCGATTTATCTTCAAGTTAGGCTTTCAAAATTTAAATAATTGCAAATATATTCGATAAAGTGTTCGCACAGCTTCGAGAAGGGCAAAATTGGGGAATTTTTGCACTGTAGAAAATCCGTATAAGTGTGATTACGGAGAAAACGAACGCCCCGTGACCGCACATCAAATTTGTGAAAACAATCGACTCTACGAACTCTAACACACATTCGCTCCGCAACATACAACAACGGATTTTCAGTGGAAACCTACTATTAATCTCAGCGATAGGAATGGAATTAGAATTTCTCGATTTGTTTCAAATTCAAACTTCAGATGATTTGCTCAAACATTTTCAGTCGAACTAAAACTACGATGAGCTTACGAAATGAACCGACACTTTTACACTTTGGCTTCATAATGATGGCGGCGCAGAGCGAACAAGTGTGTCGCGTGTGTCACCAACAGAGCTCGGACTTTTTCGCTCAGTGAATAGGTGGCCTTTGTGTAAGAAATGGCGAAAGTGGGATTGTGAAAGCTACTCTACTTTTCGAGTGGGCCCTTCTTCAAAAGACATATATGGTTCTGTTCTATGCAAAATAAGAAACGAATGTGCAAATATTAATAGATCCACCAAATAAGCTGTTTTAGAATGTTTAAATGTTGGTGATACTTTGGCGTTGTGTTAAGAGAGCCACTTTGTGTACGAACCTTTACGAATCGGTGGTTTAATTCTTCGAATGGTTTTGCCAGGCTCTCTTTCCTTCCGGGGTCTCTTCATCGTAAAGCCGTTTCCAGTGGAACCTGGCAAAGGATTTCAGCATTACTTCAACTGGACTCCCCATGTTTATGTAACGTCAAATTACTCACAAAACACAAAACTAAAACGCCTTTTGTCTAGGAACATTTGCCTCGCTTAATTCAAATAAAATTTATCAAAGGCGATCAAATATGCTCCCACAGACATAGACCAACGAAGAGATGACTTCTTCCCCTGCTTACATACCCGGTACTCCTTCTCAAATTGCTGATTGCGTGTCCGCACCAACCGAGGGTTTCGAGCATACTCTGCTTCCACGCCCTATGCGGAGGCGCCTTCGCGCGCGTACGCACCGACACGTAAGCCACTCCCTTGAAATCAATCAATCAGAATAAAATGCGCGCCATCGCTTACAATTGAGATAACTACATAATTGAAAACCACCCGGATCTCAATGGATAAGTGTAGTGAGATCCACACGTCCACAACTCGGCGCAACAACAAACCGACTGAACGACAAAGTTTTCCAATTCCCGCTCATCCATGACTGCCTCTAAAACACAGAGTACGCTGACAGTTAGTTCAAAGTCCGCTGAACCACTGCCATGTATGTCAGAAAAAGGCTCGCAAACAAGGGTCCAACCATAGATAAACATAAATAATTAAGTCCCTATCGATGAAAAATGGGAACCAGCAAAATTCATTGATGAGTCAACATAGAAACCTAATACGCCAGACTCACACTCAATTCCAGTGTTCGAAAACCATCCTTTTCGGGACACCTCATCTTTTCGCTACTGAACCTAAGCCGCTCCACGCAAACACAAATATCACTAAGCTCTTGACCTGAAGTGTTAAGATTTACCTTTGCTTTCATCAGTGTTTATCTCCGACTTCAGCTTCGGCCACGCCCCTCACAGTTAGTTAACAGGACACAAATAACAGGAAGAACACCCTTACTAATTTAGTTGTCTTTGTTTAACCCATTGCAGACAACGTTATGTCAGCACCTCCGTTGGTTTTTGTCTGCAAGGATATCAAACCATTCCACTGTCTCTGCGAGAATCCACGCTCTCTCACTGAAGTGTCTAACTATTTCAGGACACTGCTAGTTCTTGAGACTTACTAAAACGCTCTCTTCTAGGCTGAAATTCATAACTACCGCTGATAAAACGTTTGCGTTTTTACCCATGGAATTAGAGAATCTGGGAGCCTGACAAAGCGTTCTGCACAGAAACATAAAGTTGTTGCTCTGCTTTCTACAACTTTCTCGCCGTCAGAGCGCTCCACTCGCAATAACGCCACTTCTTTTCGTTTAAGTAACAGTATGAAAGCGGAAAAAATTAAAAGTAGAGACGGACTGTATATAAACCTTTAAAGTAGTAAAATTTCCAAAAAAAGCGTCAACATACTTTTAAGAAAGAGCTACTCTAAACAACATGAAGGCAAATGTAGACAACTCGGCTGTGTTACCGAATAACTTGCTACAACATATAAACGACAAAAATCTGCAATATTTGTTAGCTCTGTACATCTGTTAAAAACAAAAACAAATCAGGGCACATCGGCATAACTGATTAAAAGCACCGCAGCCTTTAAGTCTCTGAAAAATGTCACAGTGGAAGCATACATACAAGGCCCACATAATTTCAAGTGCTGCATGCTGCAGCGAAAGCAAGTGACTGCTATTGATATCAATCGATGTGCGGACATGACGGCGATAAAAAGATAGTTTAACAGTTCAAGACAAACATGCTAATTAGACAAATGTAAACTGTAAAAGAATAAAAATAAATATAACAGCATGCAACTAAGCAAACAATACATGCAGTGGTAAACTAGATAAGGCGACTAGATGACTGACTATGAGGACTTGAATAAAGAACGTGTCATGGTTTGATATACAACATTTACAGTGAAAATGGTAGAATAAAGTATTCAAAGCATGAGCAGAAAGATTGCACATGAAGTCATGGCATATAGTCATATATTTCAAAGAAAAACTTTCACCGCATAGCGTTTGTAATATGTACAAGGAAGGCTCGTGAAAACAACATTGAAGTAAAGGCTTAAATCGAGCAAAAAAAAAACAGTGAAATGAATAATAAGAACATTCACGAAGTTTGTCCAACCCAAGAGCACAGTTGGCTCTAGTTTGTAGTTTGTTGGAAATAGTACTCATTTGCTTCAGCCGGAAGTTTCCATCCACTAGCGCCCAGCTCCAACAGCAGTAGAATCATTTTACGCGCCCATGGTTCAGAGACATCAATGAACGCATCTCTGGAACTGTCGATGGTCAGCGACAGCAGTGAAGAACAAAGCTATTGATTGTACCTGATTAAATCTTTGAGAAGAGAAAGCTTGGTCTGGACATTCCCGTTCGAGATCATATCCCACTGACAGCAATGCTGAGATTAGGGACTCCAGCTGTAACAAAACTTAACAAAGTAGTTTCAGCATCAGGAAACAATCGTTAAAAGGCTAAAAAAAAAGGTTCTTGAACGTTACACGCATTCGATTACACAAAGATGAACTCTAAACCACAAAAAATCGTAGTGCTCAAGCCGTAGCGCGAGAAAGTAAGACTTCTCTAAGACTGTCATATAACTTTTTAACCCATTCGCGACCGCGCAGGATTGCGCAATAGCAGCAGCGTCAGGAGATTTTTCTTCAATAAAATCCGAGTGGAGGAGATTTCCTCTGCCCAGGGCTGGCGTAGATGAGCGAGGGTATGAAGATTCTTTTCATGGAAGAAAACTTTCCAATTTCCATTTGAAACCCTGTAATGCTATTGTCCGAGTGAGATCTGTGTCAGCCACCGGTGGCTGACATTGTCACGAATGGGTTAAGAAAACATGTGGTTAGATTCGAAGCGAAACTGTCATAAACTCGGTAAGGAGCGAAACGACCGCACCCTGCGACTTCAAAAAGATGGGCAAACCTCTTCAATTTTCAGTGTTTCCAGAATTGGCGCTCTCAACAAATAATCGAACACTTGGAACACAAAGTTTACAAGCTCCCCTGAAAATAAGAAACACTGAGTTTATGAAACGTCAACGCGAAAGTGCCTTGTGTAATAACACATCGAACGAAGAAAGAAGTAATGAGATAGAGATCGGGAGAAATGCGAAAAACAGCACACCGTCTTTTCCACCTCCAATATTCGCAATACAAATCGGCTACAAAGGCGAGGAAAGAGATCCACATGCGAAAGTGATCAGCACGGAGTCGATCTCGGCATTCGAAGTATTGCGAAACTGATGAAAGCAACCCCTGAACGAGAGGACATTGGAAAACCGGACCCACAAACACATACAAAGGAGCACATTCAATCTGACCCTGTAAAGTGCGAACGCTGATGGGGAATCTCGTAGCGCCCCACACAGTTTCGCAACTGTACGACCACCACCACCTTCAATTGCATGCTGGCAAAGCGCAGATCCAATGCTTTCAGCCAAAGTATCATCAGCGAACCCACCTAGAAAAGCACAAGGATAGCTTTTGTTGTCAGACAGAACACTGACTTACATGATATCCAATCCTCGATTTCTTTAGCAACAGCACCGATTTTGAGAGCACGAAGGCCTGCGGCCACATCCATCACCTCTCTTTCTGTCATGACTTTTTTCTGAAACCATCAACAGTAATGCATTCTTGAACTTTACAACACACCCTAATATTTGCAGTTGACTGATTAGATTTCTCCAATGTACCTTTGGTTCTTTTTTAGGAGGAGTAGGCTGCTTTCCACGTTTTTCTGTATGTCCAATATTTTCTCTTCCCAAAGCCACGTTGGCGCTACCACGACCAGATCCAGATCCGGTCGATTTCTGAATAGAAGTTTCACCAAGAACACAAGCTTTGACTGGATAACCACACTACCTGCGATTCAGAGCTGATACTGCTCTCAGTTCGCTTTAGTCGTTGTGAACCTTGGGACTTCGAAGAATCCGAGTGGCGTGAAGAAGTGTCGTGATCTGGTGATAATGCTGCTCCTCGGACGTTGTTGTTTTCTAGAATAGGAAAAATGATTTTTATACTGAGCAACTCCTCCTCAACGCACCTTCGACATCCTTATTGGACTTCCGATTCTGTTGATGAGTATTTGCCGAGGGAAGACTTTGCGGGCGCGGGCATCCTATCACAGTTGATGACGCACCGCCTGTGGCTCCTCCAGCGGCAGAGGAGCCACTCCCATCGTTGGATCCACCAGATCGAAGACCTATAGATCGATTAAGATATCCTTTTCCACATAGTTCAAAGCAACTAATTTCAAAACTTTTGATTTACCTTTCCTTAAACTAAATACACACCCCACCCGGTCTTCTTTTACACAGATTTTGGGCCAACTTTTTTCTACTGCACATTAAGTTTTATTTACACCACTTTTTGAGAAGTTTCCTGTGTCATTGCGAACCTAACAGGACTCGTATGTAGGACAATGGATTCCAATTAAGAACCAGCGATGAACGGACCAAATACCAGAAGGTGTGATGTCCTGAGCGCGGCTGATAGAATAGATTGCAAACACAAAGGAAGTCATATTGAGGAAATGCTGCTATAAGGAGTTGTTTCGCAGGAAAAATAATAGAAGGAGGCAGAATTTACAGTGGAGCTAGTTCGAGAACTTGTTAGTGTTGCCACTGTAACGGTTACACAACGTGAAAAGCGACAAATCCAGAGGAAAAGAACCTAGTAGTGTATTGGGAAAAGCCATGCACAATCCACTCCTCACGATCTCCTGCAACCTACCATGTCGACCCGATCTCACATACCCTAGTTTCGGATCAACTACATTTCGTTCAGTTTTTCTGAAGCTTACTTTCAGCACTATCCCCTACAGTGAATCCGAAATACGCCGATGCAATGACAACATTCTCGTGGAAAGGGTTGACGACGGCTTCCCCAAGGCAGTGAATCGCGGGGTTGTCAACATACAAGTAAGTTTTTGTGTACTCTGTTCATAACAAGTGTTCATAAAGTGATTCGATCTTTTTGTGACTCCTAAACTCTTTCCTTGAATCCCTGAATAACAGTTGGTTCGCACCTAGCAGCAAAGCAACCTTAAATAGCTAAGAAAAAAGGTAATAGCACTTTACACTGGATCTGTTTTCATCACACAAGAATGGCAGCCGCCTTGGAGAAGTGAGAAGGGAAGGACGCAGGTGCGTCATAAATATAATAATAGTCTAAGACAGCTTAGAAAGCGCAAACCAACCTATAAATGTACACTTTACATAGTATCAAGCAACGAATTAGCCGCCAGATCGCTTGGTTGCCTAAGGCAAAGACTCCTGGGATACACTTCGACATCAGCACGCATAACGCCACACTTTTCGCGGATCAAAACTCTCACTTCAGATGAGGAGTCCAACGTCAAAAACACATGCACCCTTGCTGGGACGCACTACTAAACTGAGGAGAGTCAGAGTCAGATCGCTGTTCTCCATTTCCGCAGTGGAAATCTCACGAAACGGAGGCGTCACTGTCATTATTGCCCGTCATTCCCACGAAGTCGGCCATATGGTTCACGTTCGCCTTCAAGTGGCCAGTATAAAACATGCATGGTGAAGATGCCACTTTTTACTCTTTCACCCTTGTTCCGAAAACGAGAAATTTCTAGGTAGGAAAGCTGTGCATCCCTTTTTCTTTAATTGACACAGCGGTCACACCTGGCTTAAGACGGGTGGCGCGACAGCAGCAGTCGCTGGGAAACAGAAACGCAGCAGAAAGGCTCATCAAACTCTAAAAAAAGAGAAATGACAGCTGATGGCAGCACATAGGTAAGCTGTAGGCTGCCCCGCATATTGACAAACTTGACCTCTAATCTTGGTAGCTGTCGTTGTCATGAAGCGATATCATATCTTATCCCTTAGTTTGAGGCGCTTTACAGGTTAAAACTGCGGGCAACTTTATTCCGGTTGTGTAACCTGTTTTTTTTCTTTAAAAACATGAGTGAATTGGTCAGCAGGAAAGGTGACCTAAAGCCACTCAAATGGAAAAAAAAAACTCACTAAAATATGCCACTGACACCATTGCAGAATTAAATCCCTATTCTTCCGTATTATAAATGATTGGCAGAGAACACCTACAACATCTGATACAAATAGGCAATACGAAAACCTGTTTCATGAGTATAGGTATCAAGTATAGGT